TTTTGATATAACTGTCTTATGGTTGGGTGTGTATCGAATGTTTGAGGGAGAAGGGAGTCGATGGTAATGGGGAGGGAGAAGAAGATACGGGGAAGGAGAAGCCGGTAGGGAGAGATTTGGGCAAGGATGGACTGAACCATCTGATTCTGTATGGCAGATGGCATCAAAGTTTGACCATATAGACAAACTTTTTATTTCTGAATTTCAAAAATAATGTAGTAATAATTACTAGATAGTTGCCCTTACGGTTTACCAATATTCATTTTTCATTTGAGAAAAATCCTAATAAAAGGCGGAGAATTAAAGTGAGAAGAAGAATGTCTATTGATGTACCAATAATATTGTTGAGATAATGGAAGAGGTGCATAATCCGGTAGTTAAGAGTGTGTCAACGAAGCCCATTTTAAGGAGTATAGTATAGGCAATTTTTTACAAAATCTAAATTTAGAGCTGGAACAGAGAGTGAACAGTAATGATGATAATTTATATTGATTGCCATTTTTTATTTGTCAAGACTATCACAGTTATTTCTGTTGGATAAATTACAATCAAAACCGATTTTCGCGGGACAAGTAAGCGAGGCCGGTATGAACAGTAGATTTACCAAATTTTCACAATGTGTAGAGAAGAACTTTATCAGATTTGAAGGAGTGTAGACGGGGTGAACAAATTCACACAGTAGGCATTATTCATTTTCTTATAAAACAATATTTGTAAGATTAAACGTTGAGTGTTGAACACATTATGTTATAATATTTTCGTATTCTTGTAAGATCATTTTTAATAACGGAATTATGATCCATTTGAAAATCATATAGTTATGAATCTGAACTAAATTTATTTGAACTTTAGGACGGGCCCGGGCCCACCCCTGGCGCTGTGAAGTTGAGCTTCAGGATTTTAGCAGCGGATTCTATTGCGTGTCAGTAAGACTTTTTACTCGGGTAGTGCACCTAAGATGTTAATATGCGTTGCTTTGGTTTGCTCGCGGCCGTCGGAATGCATCGCGCATAAAAATGCAACGGAGACGCGTCGCCTACACACACACACACACAGGGTTAACACACATACTGCATACACACACACACACAAGATCACAGGATGCACACACAAAAGAAGTGATTTTATTTTACTTTTTTTTTTTCATTTGACGGCTAGAGCTGTCGGCCGGCGGAGGGGATACGGTCTGACAGTTTGGAATGCGGTCTCGGCTGTCCCACGGACCGGCGGCGGTCTCACGCGCTGCCTGTGGGCCTGGCCGCCCGCCTCTCCGCCACCGTGGTCGCGCAAACCGTGCACTGGAGCGCCGCCGCTGTGTATATTCTCAATAAACAACGGTTTCACGACCCGAGCTGTTTCAAGTGTGCCGACCGTTTCTCACGGTATATATCATATATATATATATAGGTATATAATATTACCAGTTACCACTGCGGAGCGCCGCCGGGATGCCCATAAGAAATTGAGAAAGAAAAAAAAAATAACCATAAGTATCTATTACTCATATGCAGTGTCAACATCTGACCGACGGGTGAAGACTGAAAAACACATCATCTACTGCTGGTCAGAGAAAATAGATAATATTCTATTAACACTTGGATATGAAAGGGCAAATGCAGTGTGCGCCAAGGAAAAAAACGCTTACCAAGTTGCATAGGCGCAATTTTAATAAAACAATCGAGCCTAAGCTTGAATTTAATGTTTTTTTTTTAGCAATGATGTTGTTTATCAATTTAACATTTAATACTAGTTTATTAGCATTTTTATTTTATAACAACAAATAATAAATGCAATATTACAATTTACAAATATTTTATACAAATGTTACCTAGACGCTGTTATTTGACTTGTTCTGCAAATGTGTCATTTACTTTGCTTATATTAATTAAATTTGTCCTGTCTTTTTCTATTTGTAATATTGGCAAATCTGTAAGTCTGTTCCGTCTCATTGAAACCCTAAGCCAAATCTTTATTTTTTTAAGGGGTTAGGGGTAGTCAGCGGGGTGAAAAAATGAGCATTTCAAATATTTTTTAAGTACAGTAGTTTAATTTATTTTATAAAACAAATAATACCAAGTTATTATATTATGTATTAACTTTATTTGACAAGAATGAAAAAAAAAAAAAATTATTGTTGACCAAGTTATCGCTATATTTGTTGGACCCCTCCTCGTTTTTGGAAGGATAGCTATATCTCCAGGAACAGCAAGTTGCGGCTACTTAAGGCACTTCTTTCTCAGTGATGCTATATAGATCTGAAACATGGACACCCAAAGTGGAAGATGTAAAACGCATAAACGCCTTTGAGATGTGGGCCTACAGACGGATGCTGAGAATCTCTTGGATGGAAAGGAGGACCAACTTCTCAATTCTGGCCATGCTAAATGTGGAAACAAGACTGGCAGTGGTGTGGAAGCAGAGGATCCTAAGGTTCTTTGGCCACATCATAAGAAGGGATGAATCGAGCCTAGAGAAGCTGATGATCGAAGGGAAAAGGAGCCGTCTATCCAACACCAATGCGTTGGATAGACCAAATCAAGAACATCTCTGGCTATCCCCTGGAAGAGGCCATTCGATCAGCAGAAAATCGAGAACTTTGGAAAGAAATTGTTGACAACGTCAACCGAGGGGTCACCTAACTTCCGTTTTTGGAAGATGGACTAAAGAAGAAGTTGGACCCCGACTCACAAGTCGTGTTTTGCGGTGACCAACATACAATTTTACTGGTCCATCTAAAATTAATCAAACCTAAAAAAATCATTAGTTTAATAGTTAATCTAGTGCTTGATCAAAGCTTTTTTTTTTTTTTTGAAAATAAACAAAATGGCGACCTCTGATCATTTACTCAAGGATTTTCAAAGAAAAACACACTAGTTTATTGTTTATAAAAAATATAATTGTTAATAAAAAAAAAAATCCTTCGATCAGGCACTAGTTTTTTATGCTTTTAATAAGCTGAATAAATTTCATATAAATCTGTCAAGTGGTTTTTGAATTACAATGGTCACCGAATTTGAAAATTTAGTTTCGAGAAAAATTCATTTAAAAAGTTTAATACTCGATTTATACATAGAAATATTAATTATTTAATTACTTACATCGAGACTAGAGTCATCTATTAACTTGAATTTTTCAGATATCATTTTCGAGACATAATACTTTAGAAAATGCAAAAAAAAAATTGATTTTTTAAAAATCCTGACTACCCCTAACCCCTTAAAGCAGTAAACGAGCATTCACAAGATGCAGACCCAATGGGGAGAGTGATGGCCACATGAAATTGATAAATAATAATACTGAATAATATAATATGTACCTACTGTTATCAACTCTCCAACAAGCTTTATAAGGTTTTTTTTTTTAATATTAAACATTTTATATGCATAAATTATATTAATATTACATAAATAGAAAAAATATTAGAGAGGGCTTATTTTAAAATTGGGAGTGCTATTCCAAGTCGGGGTTGGCATTTATACTTTCTCGATTTTTAATTTTTGGAGAATCATTTAAAACTTGTCTTTTATTATTTAGCGCCATTAATTATTATTTTATTATTTAGCCATTAATTCAAAAATTATGAAAATTTAAGGGGAGGGGTTGTGTTTTCTATGATAAACAAATTAAAAGCTCTGCTGTGAATAAACTATATCAGATAAACTTCTGAAACTGCACTTGTACATGTCAAAGTGATTCTGATTCGTTCATCGGTTTTAGAGATCTGTATGAGTAGAGAAAAATTTAGTCATGATTGACATTTTAATAGTAAAAAACTTAGATAATTTGTATTCTGTATCTTCTTGGCAAGCTCTATCTAATGAGCTTAGAATCAACTTTCTTTATCTTATAGTTTAAGAGAAAATTGAAAATTAAGCGTTTACAACATGTGATATACAGACTTTTTCAAATTAAAATCATTATAACGCATGGGTATGAAATCCTTTTTACATATATATTATCTTATATTAAAGCTATAACAATAAGACAAATATACCTACATTACCTATATACCTAGTTAAAAAGTGTAGGTGATGTAAAGGCTAAGAGATTGTTCCCATTTATCAAATATCTGTACAGCCACTACTTTAGAATTTTATAAAAATGAGTTATGCAAGATTTATAAGGTTTTTGATTAGGCATTAGAAAAAAGTTTTGAGGCTATTGCATGATTAATACAACATAACTTTAAATTATTGTTTGCAAATCGTACCTATCCACCTAGTGCTGCGATATAGAATCTGAAAACAGATTTGTCATAAAGTTTACTTGAGATCAAGCATTTCACTTTTTTTAATTTCGAATTTGATTTTTAAATAACTATTATGATACTACAATAAAAATAACTTATGTCACATAATATTTATAGCAAAATGTTATACCCAGAATATGTATATAAGTTTTCTTTAATTATATTTCTTTCATTTATCATATTTCTTAAATTTTTGTTAAAACTATGTAATATATATATATATATATTAAAACTTTTGTTTAGACTAAGAGGTAAAAATACAGATAATAAATAATTAAAACTAATTAACAAAGTAAAGTTAGTTTACAAAAATTAAAACATTAAACTAATAATATAATACACAATCAAAAACCAGTTTGACCGGTATATCATTTCTCTGAACTACATTGCTATAATGAAACTAAAAACTATTTATAATTACATCTATTAGAAAACAGCTCATATAAGAAGAAAAATGTATAAATTTTGTTACAAAACTTTAAAATATTTCCTAAAACAATTTATATTAATAAAAACAATTTTTATTAAAATTAAATTCATGTCATATAGTTTTTATCTTAACTTTAACCGTTAAAATTATAATTAATAATGTTATTAAAGATGATTTTATTCAGGCGTTTTCCATAAACAAATGTAAACATTAATTCTCATGGAAGCAGAATAGGTCAATTTTTGTTTTTTAAGTCAGACCTTAGCTACCCTTAATTTTTTAATGAACTTCATCAAATCACCGATACAAGAAATAAGAATATGTAATAAAAATGTATTATACTTACATACTTTTCAATTGCACTATATTTTTTATACGAAATCAGTACCATCTATAATGTGGAAACATTGTACAAATATCAAAATATAAAACTAATTCACTTTGGCAAGTGCTGCAAACAATTTTTTTTTAACTTCAAATATAATTTTTTTTGGGTTAACATTATAATATAAACAGCGCTGGAAACATCTCACAAATTGTATGAATTAATCTTGTCATACCCAATAACCCGTACATTAGGTGCTTATTGAATAATTCTTAACAGGTAAATTATCCGCATTACGAAAGGAATGTGCGAACTGTGGCTTTAATGGTTTGTCGACACAATGGACAGTCTGGCAAACTGGATGCACAAGTTATGCATGCAACTAAATGAGCACATGGTAACATAACAACACCCAGTTCTCGATCTAGACAAATTTTACAGAGGCGAGCTTCTTTTAAACGACGGTTTTCCTCCTCTAAATCTAAAATAATGAACTAGTGTCAATAATAACAAACAAATAAAAACGTGATTATCAAAAATTTACCTGACTGAGATAATTTTGAACTTTGAGGTTGTATTAGTTCTGAAGTGACTTCTTCTGCTTCTAAAAAAAAAAAATTATACTTGACATTAATTAATATCCTATATAAAAAGTTTTTACTGTTTGTACCATTTAAAACTTTTTTTTTTTTTAAATAAAACTAATCAAAGTTTTGACTTAATAAATACCTCTATTCTTAATTTCACTAGGTTGTGTAGCGTCAGAAATAATAATCCTGCCAAGGTCAGGTTCTGGAGTACTATGAATGTTACTATTATTTGAGCTAATTAAATTATTTATTTCTAACGACTGTGGTAGTATTATTTCTTCTTCTAAACTAGAACTAGAAGGCAAACTTCTCAGTTCAAAATCACTGCCTCTGTAACAGTTAAACTGATAAATACCTACTATTAAACAAAATAATGAATTCAAATTAATACCCATCACTATCATCAGATTCTTCGGATGAACCCTCATGATGTTGGTTGGTATTTGTTCTAATTGATGGACCCTCTCTACGGAGTATATCTTCCAAAGTCATAGAATCCCTGAAAGTTATAAAATAAAATTGTATTTAATTAATTTTTCCTCTTCTTATAATTCAAAAGAAAATTACCCATCAGTGGGAAAAGTCTGATTTTGGGTCAAAACTTGTTGAATAAAACTGTCCATCGATCTGAAGGGTCGTCCAATTTCTTGCATATTACTTCTTATTGCTTGTCTTACTTGAGAAGGCTGCAAACCCAACTCCAGTGCCATCTAAATATTTAATTAATATTATACTTAATGATATCCAATCAACAAGTGTTAAAAACGTTATAAAAACTGGAAAAAAAAAAAAAAAAAAAAATGGTCACCTGACCAAAAATCAAACTTGGGTCTCTATTACACTACCACTAAGCAAATACCACAGATAGCTTTATCTGTCCACGCGTTCTTATTAGGGTCAACCGCGCCTTTTATTTAAATTAAACAATTTTGCTATTAAGTGTTGGTTAAAATACATAATTTCACAACTACGATTAGTCTTCTATAACTTATTAAATGTATTTTCAACATTTTTTTGGGAGGCGTCTAAAATGATAGAAAATTGTGTAATAAAAAAAATAATATTTTCAAATAAGAACAATTTAAATAACAGTGAGGTCATTCACAAAATAAATGTTTAAGATTAGGTTAGTTTTTTTTAGCAAAAAGACATACTTATGTGCATTGGTCACGAGGTTATATAGATATATAGAGAGTTCTATAGATACATAAAAAAATAAAATAAAATTTGTATTTAACGAATTATACAATAACTTACTATCGCTGGAGAAGCTAACATTAGTTCATCGATTTGTTGGTCAGTTACCTCAGCACGGCGTCTGCCTGAAGAACCAGGATCATTTGGCGCTATATTGTCCGTTTGATGAATACTAACCGCTTGACTCTATAATTAAGTGTTTGTTATTTTAAAGTTTATGTTAATGTTAATATGTAAATACTACATCTTGTGACGTTGATGTTGTATCATCAGATCGAGGTCTATTTAGAAGTGCATTAAATCGCTCCACTAAACTTAAATCAAGAAACTTTTCTCCTTTAACTAAGTTTAAGAAGTCACAATTTGGAAACCATTTGGCATGCTCAACCCACGGATTATCAGCTAATTCCCAGTTTTGAAGACCACCATCACAATAATAACAGCGTACTTCGTCATTGCTTCCTAAAAATATGTACCATATTTGAATTATTAATAGCTTATATAGTTTATAGTAAAATAATAGTTATTTTATACCTATGTAGAACCTCTTTACACAAATAATTATAGAATTAACCTAATTAATATTAGCCAACTATGACTGAGCAGATTTCTGAAATTTGTCATTGTTGTCGACATATGATTTTCTAATGTTGTCTTACATATTTAATAATCTTTTCAGTTAAAAATTATGTTGCACAAGAGATGGCACAATTTTGTGGAAAATAACTTGAGTGTATTGTTACGTAGGTTAAACTGTAAAATCTTTAATAAACAGCTCGTGACAAAAATATTTCTTTTGAAGACGACTAGGTGAATGATAGAGTATTCGACTTCTCTAGTGTTATTTCTTAAATTACAGGCATTTCAAAGTTTATGTTTATCTTGCCACAGAGATATAATATGAGTTATTTATTACTTTGCTAAACCTAACTTAATGTAACTTTGATAAGTAATTTTCACCAGAAACAAATTAGTAGAATTGTGTTGCTGATTTTTACATTAGCATTACTGTTTTATAGTATATACTTTGTTTACAATTGAGCCTAATTTATAAGGAATATATTCTAAATATATGTATATGTATAAAAAAGGTTTATTATGCACCTGTAAAGAAAAATCCAGCACAGGCCAAATCCTCTGGTTTTTGCGATTCATTGTTCCAGCCTCTGAATGTCTTTAAACGAGCACAATAGGAATTATATTTTAAGTGAAAAGCAACTTTATGAGCTCTTACTCCCAAACCACGTATGTCAATAGGTTCACCTACAATATTAAGATAAAAATGATATGTCAATATTAAATAATAATAATAATAATCTAGTTTTTAGTTATTAACCTGATTCCTTATGGTTTTCTACAAATTCTTCACGCAACTGAATTCCTTCAATTATGGGTATATTGCCGCATTCTTGACTTAAAACAAAATTACAGTTTGGATTATGGCGTTTATGTTCATCTATAGCATTATCGCCAAACTCCCAACGACAAATACATATATTACAAAAAGCACATTTCACCTATAATTATTGTACATAATAATACTAATTAACATTATACTTAAAAATTTCATATGTATACTCTATAACCAAAAAACGTATTGATAATGGACACCTAGTTAAATAATGTCGTATTTAGTATTTTTACCACCATTAAAATATAATAACTAGAAGGACGTTTTAATCCCAAATTTTATAGCGTAAAACCTGACTACGTGGAATGCATTTTACACGACCTGTTTCAAAGTGAAATCACCAATGGTGATAAATGAACGAAAACAATATTTTGGAGACAATGGCATATCCTTTTTTCAAAATATTTCTTAGACAAAAAGTTATCACTGTTCTAAAAAAGTAAAAACTACCTTTTTTTAACATCAAGTACCAAGAAGTTAAATAATGAACATGTTAAAATAACAATAAGTCATTGCCTCTAAAACTACCATACAACCGTAATAAACACAATCTGCTTGGCCATGTTAGGATGAAAACAATTTTTAAAATTGCTGTCAAGAATGCTTATAAAAAAAATCCTAGTTACTAAATAGTAATTACTAGGGCTCAGATGTTAATGGCCACGAATTTATTAAAATATGTATTTAAATAATAAAACAATAAAAAATGTTAGCAGTTTTCAAATAGCAGACTTGACATAATTTAAATAACATTTACATAGGTTAATTATTTAAAAGGTTTTTTTATGTATCAGGATAACATTGAATTACAATTATTTTAGAGAAGTTTTTATATTTAAAAGAACAATTACAATTATTTTAGAAATTTTGGACAATATTGTGTAACCAGAAATTTGGTATAATACTTTTTCTCAACTTGTACATAATTTATTTAGCTTATACTATTAAATATGTTAAAAGATAATAATAAAAACATGAAACATTAACATAAGAAACATTTTTATTAATTATACTAACAAATATGCTATTAAATCTATAAATAATCATTATAGGCAAATATATGCTCAAAAGGGTCAAATATGCAAATATATGCAATATAAGTTTGCCTATTTGAAATCTAGTCTTTGTGAATAAACAAATATCACTAAAAAAATATGCAAAGTCATAAAGATCCGAGATTTAGAAATTACACATAATAGTCTAAACTTTAAATTAAGATTGCAAAAAATTACCTATAGCGAACTCCTTAACAAATAAGGGTCCTCTTAACATATTTTATTGTTGAAGATTTTTTTGTTACATAAGCCTTAACTTTTAAAATTAAATGCATAATATATCTTTAGCGTGGCCTAGTATGAAATCCATAATCTCCAGGAAATCCCTTCTTATTTCCTAATTTAGCACTGAAATAGGATTCGGTTTGTAAATAAAATAAATATAATTCCTGAACTCTACAATATTGTCATTATATGAATATCGATTAGTATAACAAACATGTATATTTCACACGTGTCCATTATCAACTCAGATACAAGTTACAACTGATAATATTATACAGTTAGTTCCATTCTTACTTTATCGGTATGTTTGGTGTAATAAAATCCAGCAGACGCTAAACTCTTCGGAGTAATGATGAACGATATCGGCCAACCAGTAAATGTAGCCAATCTGTTACTTTCGTTTTTGAAGTCGATTGATTCCATTAGTACTGCTAGAGAAAATGGTACAAATATTAAAAAAAATTAATCGTAGCTGTATACTTATATTGTTATTTCTGTTGAAGTTAACCAATTAAATTTATCTATAACTCACGTTTAGGTTAAAAAAAAAAAAAAACAAATGTGTTATAGAATTCGTACACGATTTTGATTTGTTACAATTTCGGACACGATTGTGACCTTTGGTATAAAACTTACGTTCACAAATTGATTGATTATTATTATTCCTATTAGTTTCTTACGAAGTGTTGACTATATACTATTGAATGTAGACAAATTTCAGTACTTTTTCATCAGTGTCATCAGTCTTATTAATAAATTATGTAGAAAAACAACTAACAATTACTATTATTCAATTATTGTCAAAAAAAATTGTACGTTTTTAAAACAACGAAATCCGAATACAAGCGGCTATTTGATTGGAACAATATTATGCGCAGTTATTACTATTTACCAATTGGGATAACATTTTCAATGGTGCAAATCGATAAGATAATAGTACAATGTTATCACCAACTACAGTGATAGCGGTTGTGGTAACGTTTTTAGCCACAGCTCTTTGTTAGTTTGAACTTTGAAAACCTATTTAGTATTATTCACTGTTCACATACAGAATATTTAAGTACAAAACATAGTCAATGGTCAAAGCTTCACATTCTGACCGTTTACTTACTTCTCAATAAAAATATTTAATCAGTAAACGGTCATTATTAGAATGGAAACAGTAATTCATATTTAATTCATTAAACTAAATATTTTATCCACTTGAGGCTACCTATCTAAGCATAACTTACCCATTTGTATACAATTGTTTCCTTCTTAATACAATATTTACTATTTATATACAATAATTATTAATATCATTAATGTTAGTAAGTAATGTCAAAATTTGTGAAGCACAAACTTCATAACTACAAAAAAGGAAAGAATACGCATTTTTCTTTTTCTTTCTTAACAACAATACATTATTTTATTTTTATATACTCAACATTTATTATTATGATATGAAATTTTATCCTTGTTACTTAAACTATTTAAAATTTTAACTTAAACATGTACTATTGTCATTAATAATGTATAGTGACACAAAATGATAGTTATAAACGAAAATGTAGTTATTGTGTGTATTTTAATTTAATCCTCATCTGAAGAATAGTCGGGATCAGCAACGCCGTGGATAATCCACATGTCATTTAAATACTCGTCTGATTTTGAACTTGCTAATTTAATTTTGATACCAGCAGACTAAAATTAAAAAAATTAAATGAAATACAATTTGTAGTTTGCAACTAAAACTCATAATATTATTAGGTAGATAAAACAATAACTCAATTGTAATTTTTAATTTTCTTATTATTTAAATTATTAGTTGCATAGAATTTAAATATTTACTAATAAAATGCTTGATTAGCTTAAATTTCCTAAACAACTGCTGATGAAAATGGTTAATTTGTTTTTCTTATTTTTAGGAATTAGTAAGCTCTTCTCAAATAACCCACCTGAATTCTAACGAATAACCTTTGTAAGAACTAATTTACCTTTGTATGTTTATCAATATCAGCAATAAATACTACACATTCTTTATCCACTATACTTTTCACTTCATCTTCTTCAATAGAGCGTATTCCATGTAAGTGACAAACAAAAGATTGAGACGGTAATTCGCTAAATTGTTTATAGAGAATTCTGATGTTTTCAAGTGGAATACAATTAACTGATCCATTATCAATGTTTATTACCTAAATGTAATAACAAAATAATAATTTTTTTTATAACACAAATATTAAAGAACTGAGTTTGCTTACTTTTACATCAGTCATGTCGATATTCGATACAACACCTCTACACCATTTATCATTTAATGAATATGCATATGTTTGTCTCACCATAGTTAATGTTTGATTGAATTTAAATTTATGTTGGTAAATAGAATAAAACTCTCTAAAACATAATTATGAGAAATAAGGATGTAAGTGGTAAATAAACATTTTGATACATACTTCATTTGAGATAACATATCTGTGTACTCCGATGATTCGTCCAACAATTGACAGAATAGCGTAGGGGGTAGAAATAAATTAACATTCACTCTACACACTTTGACATTTAATGTGCAATTAAGTCGTATGTGTGGTGATAAATTGATTTCCTCGTCCAAAAAACATTCGTCTAAAGGAACTTCTAAGTATCGATCGCTTCTCTAACAATCAAAAACTATATAAATATTTACTAAGAAAATAATTTGTAGCATTATGTGAACTAACAAGACATCTTTTTAATACAGAATCATCTTCTTCTGGTTGTTTCTCAGACTTGCTTTTTATTGAACACAATGAATGCTTAAAAGGCTCCAATTCTGAAACAAAATATTAAAATGCTAGTTAAACTAAATTTTCATTATGGTAATTACAAAACGACCATTTTTTTTTTTTGGCTGAATACTATTATGTCTTGAGTCATACATAGAAGAAAAATACATTTATGTAATATACAAATAATTCATATACTTACTACTTATTATTGATTGAGAACTTGCATTAATTTTGTTATTTTGATTGTCGCAACATTTATTATTTGCGATTATTTGTATCTCGCTAGATTCAGTGAAACTAATACGACACAGCTCGGGTAGGTTTGCAAACATTTGACCCACTCTTGAAAAACCCCAACGTCTATAATGAGAAAATGTCGATCCAAACTTTTCCTAGAATTAAAATTAAAATTTGTCATAAATATAAAAAAACATTGGTCAATATAACTAATCATTAATAGACATTTTATATTTACTATATATAAGTCAATTATTTTATTTTCAGACACCCAATTTAGTTGTTCATTCAATAATTGTTCTATATTGTTTACAACAGTTTCTTCCAAAATGTTGATCAAAGGATACTTTAACCTTTCCGCAACATAATTGGGCTCACTATAATAATAAAAATAATAATATCAATTAAATGTCTGTAGTCATCACTCACTTAACAAAATTATACTTTTCTAATAAATGCTCCTCTATGTTAAAAATATCTTCGGCAGTAAATTTATCTAGAGTAAAAAAATGGTAATATATTTATATAAAACATTGGTTAAGTTATTTGTTAATTAGATATTAAAATCTAAATTTATTATTAGGAAACAAGGATACCGAATGGGAATATAACAAGAAAAACATATTTTACATTATTGGTATGTTTTATCGAATTTAACCCATTATATATAGAATGAACCTAAACAATTACATTTTAAATACTAGAAAATAACTGAAATAAGATAAAATATGTTTTATTGTTTATTTCCTATGTATCCTTATTTTCAGATTTCTCCATTTATACATTACTATGCAACAATTTTGTTGGTAATTAATTATATGTTTTAAATTACTAACCTATTTCTTTTGGTATACAATTTATGCTATCTACGATATTTTGTTGTAAAATAATACTTGAGCCAATTTTTTTAAAAATATGATCTAAATTATATAGTAACGGCTCTACGCACTCAACAAATGGTTTAAAAATAGACAAACATAATATTTTTGACTCAAATTCATCAATTGACAGTCCCTATCAACAAAAAGTAAAAACAAATATATTAGGATTTAAAACAGTTTGTAACAATAAATGTATAAAAAAATTATCGAATACTAATAAACATTTAAATATTCAATAAATACACTATTGAATATAATTAAAACATTAATTAATTAGTTAAAATATTTATGTATATTAAAATAAATAAATCAAAGTAAAATATATGTACCTAAATGAAAAATAAGAAATATGTATACATTTATAAATTTTAATATAAAAATTAGTTATTAATAAGAAACTGCTTATGTTATAAATTAATAATTCAAGGGGACATGATTTTTTTCACAATAACCCTCAAAAAACTAAAAATAGCAATACTTTGTTGACTATTGTTTTATCGAAAGTAAATTTATTTGTATTAAAGCGGCACTTATGTTATATTATTTTAATATAATTATGTTTATTCATGTAGTTTTTTTATGATAGCAATATGGTACTTATATATAAATTATAACAAATTAATAAAAAAAAAAAAAATAATAAACCTATACTCTGTTCCAAAAGAAAATAACCAGCGCAGAAAATTAAACACATACATTTCTGCTGCGCCTGTGCATCCAAGAGTAACGAGTTTTAGTTTCTGCTCTAGTGATTCTCTATTTTAGAACAGAATATAGTTAGTTTTACTAGCTGAATCTAAATATCATAGTAGTATATAAGTATATAAGTAAATAGCAATATTATATAGTAAATGTATATAATAAAATCCATACCTTAGGGTACAACTCTAAAAAAATTCTCATAAATGCGCACTGCGTCTCGTAATGAATTACTAAATCTCTGTGAGAAATTTTAGTTTTGCTAATTTTGGGTCTTTGAAAGTTGGTTGATACTAGAAATTCTATGTGTTTGCTTAATGTTGAGCTGACTAGGTGAACAATAGAATTATCGTTTTCTGGATCTTCTAGCTAATAACAAAACATCACACATAATAAAATATTCAAGAATATTAAATTCGAAATAATATTGTATACCTATTTACTATTTACCTGAACAATATCTGGAACACTAGTAAAAAATTCAAGTAATGAGTAGAAGCCAAACATGTCCAATTGTACTTTATTTCGACCTCCAAATACATAATTAACTCTAGTCCAAAGTTCCTCGATTGTAAGAGCATCTAAAGTAGCAGTAAGAACACATCGAACTACTAATTTAAGCTCACTCAAATCATCGCAAGGTTTAACCATTTTATATAAATAAATGTATAAAAACTTAATAGTTATAATAAAACTAGTATATAATCTTTATAATAATGTTTTCATGAATTGTCCTTGTTAAAATAGTCACTAGACTGAATACAAGTTTGGACTAAGCAGTAAGCATAACTTTTAAACGTTGTTTTGACATGGTAGTTAACACTTGACAGTTTTCAATTTTAAAATTGCATTCAAATGATAACCGTTATCAGCCGTACTGTGCAACAGCCACCAATACTTGAATGTACAATTTGAATTTTGAGGTCATAGGCGCTTGGGCAGAATTCAATTTCCACCTGATGCTTATTAATCTTTCAGAATAATAATTTTCAAATCTTTTTTTATGTTATAGTAAGAAGTAAGAACAGAGCAGAGCATAACCACAGGCTATAATATGAAATCCATCTTGGACAATTGGCGGGAATATTTCTGTGGTGCAACCAAATTGCCGAATAGGTACCGAAAAGGTACCTAGCTAAACCGTGGTTGGTAGAGTACATTTCATAAAACATAGGTACACCCAATTTGTGATAACTGCAAAATGGACTCGGGCTGCCATGTTTTTCTTATAAGAAACACCAGTAGCCATGTTGTGAAATTTGATAACACAAGTTGCTGACAGAGTTGGGGGTAGTTCTTCCAAAAAATGATAACGCGTTATAAGAAATAAATGTTACATAACCTATGAAATGTGTAATACTACAGATAGTACCAACATCGATTTTACCAAAAACCCGCCAAGAGAAATTTCGTATTTTAATATCAAAAACATTGCCTTTAGTTAGGTTCTTATCTTTATTGCAAATTGTAGTTAAATATTTATCAATTATCTAATTTAAATCGTATACACTATACACGTAAAATTCATAATGAATTACATTATATTATAGTATATACCTATCATATAAGTATATGTTATAATTTAATATTATTTGGTATAAAATAATAATAATTTTATTAAAATTTCCCTCAAATTGTTTATATTACTATTTAAATAAAACATTATTTTTACTTTTTACCTAAATTAGTTAACGATTTCAGAATTTGGCTGTCAAGTATAAATTAGTTTTACCACATCTTACATATGTATTCTGTAGTTAAAGAATACAGGTAGGAGCTTATAAGCTTTGTCTTCAATCTTGTCTTTTAGAAGATATATTATTAACAAAATTTGGTACCTAAAGGATATATTAGAGCAAGATTACGGAACATATGACACTTGTAGTTTAAATACCTTACATGAATAACTAGAACCAAACACATATTTCATTTTCAAGTTTCCACATAAATCAATATATACATTATAAGGTTATAGTCCTAAGTGAACCTTTTGCCAGATAAAGACTCGTGAAGAGAAAAAAATTGTTGTACGGCCCCTTTTGCATGGGATAATAGGTAGATAATACGAATATGGCATAATATAAAATTACTGTAAACTAGATTTAACAATTCTGTTGTATTAATAAAAATGATCAAACTTGGGTCGTAATCGTATAAACGTCATACTCAATAAATATATAATGTAATTTAATAAAAACTTGCTTTTATGTTGGTGAGATTATCAAATCAGACTGATCGGTATTAAAATACCTTGCAAGACTGAATGTTATTTATAATCAATTAGTAGGTTTTTAAAATAATTGTTATTCACTTAATATTTTACAGAAATTAGTTTATATTAAGCTACTCTGGGTATATATTTTTATTATATAAACCAAACTAAACAATATGACTTTGTTCTGAAATAGTTATTCATATGATTTAAAAATATGATACAATTTTTGGTCAATATAAATTTGCAAATTTACAATTATCTCTTGATTTGAAAATGTCCTTGTTTGTTAGAAGATTGCATAGCCCATATTTTATTAATCTATGTACTTATTCATTTAATATGGCCATTTACTTAGTGAATAGTTAAATTAATAATTTATGAATAATTACACCAGAAATCGCATAATATGACAATTGATACACATTAATGCGAGCGTATCAAGTACTCATCACATAAATGTTGATCTACCCTTGGTATGGTACAAAGATCTTAATTAAATAACTGCAAAACTTCTTCAAACGATTGTACTGTTCCATCCTTTATAAATTAGGTATGGTACCCTCGTGTTTAATATATATTTTTCTGTTCTAGGAACTTGCTTTCTGTTGTAGTTAAATAATTTTTGGATTAAGTCCTGCCGTTTTACGGTGGACAATATTGACATAAAGCTTTTTTTTAATTATTTTAATTAATACTCTGATAATCAGCATCTCATCATATTTATTTATCTCTTATCTCGTTCTCATCGAGATCTGCTGTTAAAGCTCTTTTTGCCCACAAAAAGTTTAATAAGTTATAATAAGACTGATTTAAGTATGTTAATATTTACTTAAGATTGGTGAAGTTGTGAAAATTTAAATGATATAAACGTAGCTATGGACATATTTAATGTGAAAACTAATGAGGCTATTTCCAATTCCACTAATATGTATATAATAAAATTGTCAAATCAGAAATTAAAAGATTGAATATTAAGCGGTCAGGTTAACTCTATTTTAACTAAGTGAACATTTTTCAGGAAGTATAAATTATTAATTACAATTCAGTAGCACTTTTTAAATTGTGGTAAACCAATGGGTAACTCTCTCCGAAATAAACAACCTAGCTAAACCACCAAGAGTCGAGACTATTAAAATTTAATAGGTACAATTGTATAAATATAATCATGATTACAAATGGAAGGATTGTCGTTTGAGTTTTCTAACTAAAGTTTAGACTAAACTAGAGTTTCCTAACTCGCAGCCGGTTTTACCAACTATTGTTAAATACACTCTTAAGTCTTAACACAATGTTAGTTAACAATTCATATTTCATTTAAATTTAACATCCGGTTAAATTAAATGAGCTACACATAAGACCATAACATTATTATTGTTAAATTCTATTTGTTAAGTTAACAAAACGTTAGTTGGGTTACCAAAGCGGACCTCGATTGCAACGTTCTCATTGGTTATCAAGATATGTGATAACGGATAAGTGATTGTATTTTGTAACTTTCTATATACCTACTCAGTTTGAATTAGAAAGTAGAAAACAAATTAATCTCACTGTTTGTAAAGTCGCAGTTAACTTCTATTTCATAATTGTTTGCTCTGCTAAAATAATAAAGTGATAATTTTTCTATTTGATTGTTGTTAGTACGACAATATAATTGATGTATATTTTTAGATCATTGAATGTATGATAATTTGCTGATAGAAACATTAATAGCTTATACTTATTTATTTCAAACATCATTTATTACTAATTATATTAAGTACAATAAAACGAATAATCCGAAATTACAATGTAGTACCGGTTAGTGTTCTTAAAATGCACTTACGTGTTATTTATTTTATAAGAAACAACTAACTCAACAAAAGTCTTGCACTAAAATATAAAAAATGTACCCTATCTTACGGTACTTAAAAAATGTGTAAAATTGTTATACATTTTATATAAACTTTATAAAATCATGAATTTGTTTTTTAATCTTTTAGCTAGTTAAAAATTTGAAAAACAATAATTGTTTAAGGGGATTTTATGTTTTTAAGGAGCTTTGTATAGACAATATTAAAAAAAAAAAAAAAGAGATTTTAATAAATTTCGACCATGTCAATTAATTTACCTGTTAATTTGTATAAGCTTCAAGGTATTATAATTAATACAAATAATTTTTTCTATGAGTAAAAGCCATGTTGGCTTTATTGTAGACGAAAAAGCCAGACAAAATTTCAACTACATAATATGATGCGGTCCAATTAAATTTTTTTTGAAGAGATTCGAGTTCTCAACTATGTGTTATGCAGGAAGCCGATTTTCATTTAAACATTTCAATTTCTTGTAAATAAGTAAATAAATTAAATTTTCAATTTTTTTCAATTTTAAAACCCAATTTTTTTTTACATAAAACAGAAATCGTGTACCTTACCAGAATTAAAATCGAACTGTCCTAAGTCTGTCTGGCTCTTTGGTCTAAAACATCTAAAAAGCAGATCGTTATGTTAGATCATTAAATTGTCTACAAAGAATGTTTGTACACATTTTTCCAAAAATGCATTATTATACGAGAAAAAATTTAACATAACTTTTTTCATTTATTCGGATAAACTGTTTTTCTACGGTTATTTAAATATATTTGATAAACGAGTAGAACGTGTTTAATATATTTTTTATAAATAAAAATTAATAAATCGTCTTTTAATTAATCAAAGACAATATCAATACAAATCAGTCTTAATAATAAGTCAATAAGGTTGACCAGGATCTAATTTTTTTACGGTAATTATATTTTATATCAAAGAAGATGATTTTTTTTTTATTTAAATATGGCTTCGACTACTAGGTCATTAGCCTTTAGTTTACATTTACATTTACATTTTTTAGTACAATATTGAATTTTACAGTTTATTACATAAGTTAAGTAATTTAATGAATTTTAGAATGTTTTCTTCGTTGTTTTCTTTTAGTGCGTTTTGAATGTTGTTTGGCTGGTTGAGTATGTGGCGTTCGTTGTTGTAGTTGTTGCATTCTATAATGATGTGTTTCATGGAGATTGGTTTATTGCAGGTAGAACATATTGGCTGAGGTTCGTGGTTGAGTAGGTGTGCGTGGGTAAGGTGGCTGTGTCCAATTCGGGTTCTTGTAAGTATTATGTCCTGTCTTCTCGTCAGTGATACGTTTGAAAGCCATTTTTTGGTTGTTGTTTTAATTTCTCTTAGTTTATTACTGGGTGGAGTGTCTTTCCATATATTTTGCCATTTTTGGTGGAATCTTTTGGTGATTTGATGTGTAACGTCATTTGAAGTGATTTCTACCAACATGAAGATGATTTATTTTATACTGTTCCCAGTTTAACAATTTCTATAATATATCTTTTTAGCGATCTATTAGTAAAAAATGGACGATCGTATGAAATGTTTTTTTATTATCTATTTTGTAGGCAATTTAATTTTATAAAATAAAAAATTTAATAATAAATTTAAAAGTTTTATACTTAATATATTTAATAGACATGCATTAAGGAAGGAGGGGCTGGTCTCAGCCGTCCATCTACAACGTACCAGGGACGTAAGATTAATAAATTTATTAGCCATTATTTGTCAATATATAATTATTTGACGTCATAAGGTTACTATAGTAAGTAGGTATTATTATTATAATAATATACATGTATGTTATTCTAAGTTTTTTGTCTACTGAGTTTTATTTCTGAAAAACAGGACTCAAAACGTGAAGGTATGTCGTACCAATTATTATAGTCTTGCTTTGATAATGGTATTAGTTGAAACACG